TGACGAATAAAACGGTCAAAATGTTTCGGTTCGCATTTACCGATTTGAGTGGAAAAAATTCATTAAATATTCATACGTTTCCATGAATGTTACCTTCAAATTTGCGGGATGGAAGCAGATTTGAATTTGCGAAATATATCTTCTTTATCAAGAAGAGTTTATTTGAAGAGTGAATGCACGCACGGTACATGATACATTTTAAAGTCGATAATCCAAGGTTAATTCCAAACTATTTTCGCTCGCCAAAAACTATTTCTTCTTTCGTCCGGCGCTCTTATGTATTATTATACCTTTATACATATGTATTTTTTCTTCAAGTTCAAACAATTTTTATTATCTTTTGTGAATACATATTGGAAAAAAGCATAAACTTACCGTACGTTGATATTGATTCAAATCTATTACTATTTCGGATAGGTAGTCAATTTCCGGTATCACTGTCAGTTTTCTTTTACTTATACGTATGTATCTGAAAAAAATGCAATTTTTACACATTTTTTTGCATGAATTTAATGTATTTGATTATTTCATAATTTCACTTAGAATAAAATGCTGGTGCTGAAATTCGAAGAGATGCCATAGTATCTAATGCCAACATACAATCAACTGAAATATGCTCATATGCTCAATCGCTTACAAAATGACGCCGTTCTCCGTATCGGTCGTTTTGCCGAGCTATACTTTGAAACATTTTCTCAGGTTAACACGGTTTTAAGTATTTTAATATATATCTCACATTCAAACAGAGCTCATTTATTTCGGTTTTACTTTCAGTTGACAAAGAAAATTTATACCTTTTTAATGATGTTGATCAGACTGGTTAAATGAATTCGTACCACAATCTTTGTTTCCTTACCCAAAAAGCTGTTTCGCCAATCAGATAGTAATTTTAGTACTCTATTTTTATTTGCTAATTTTTTAGGTCATGAAGTTTACATTTAATTTGAAGAGTACGATGTTTGTTTGTTACAAAATTTGGCAAACTCGTCTTCACAGTGTCATCATACAAATTCATAGTAATGTAATTCATTTGTCTACACGTCAAGATTTAATGTGATTAGCATTTTACATGTCCATTTTCCATAAGTAAATTTTCAATGTTTGATGTGATTTGCCATGTAAGAATTGTAATGCTTTCGCAAACTTATTTTCATACATAGTAACGTAGATAATAATATCTCTCTCTCTCTTTCTCTCTCTCTCTTTGTGCACAACATTTTATTGTTCAACCCATAAAAATTGTATAGAGGAAAATAGAAAGGCGTGCATAGCGTCTAGCATCAACTAAGTGTACAAAAAACAAAGTTCGTATGAAAAACCATGTTTCCATTTCCTACTCGACATGACAATACTTTTAAATAGATTTAAAGTTTCTCGGCAAAGTGCTCAAACCCGGTTGTAATTACTGAAAACTTCTATGCAACAATAAATTTTGGAAAAATGCCGCATTATTTATTTTTACCATGTCTAATCTTGTATTTATGCTAATAAATTCCGAATACAGAAAGTATAAATTTTTTATCTTTTTGCTATTCAAATGAAGCAAACGACGCAACCAGGACCGATGATATGACGACCCAACCCAAAATGAAATATACCAAAAAATCAAGCACCGTCGAGCGCCCGCATACACACACACAATTAGCAATAACACAAACTAATGATAACGATGACGATTTTGGATGGAATGGTGTTTTGCAACTGCTTTGTTATTATATTCGTCGCTTCGGTGAAAACTTTTCGCATCAATTTTACTGGGTTGCGCGTCATCCAAAAAGATTACAACACGATGCTATTTGAAATGCTGAAGAGAGACAAAACGACAATGTCATTTACACCATCACTCCTTATGATATTCTATATTCATTTTTATCACAAACAAAAGAAATGTATGCAGTTTTCGGCTATATTGTCGGATAGCATCAGTTCTCGATGGGTGTTGTTTTTTCGGTCGTTTTTATAGGATTACGAGCAGTAATTTTTCTTATCGAGTCTTAAAGTAAATTTTTTTTTTGTTTTGTTCTGGCGGCACGAACGAAGTGAATCATCCCATTTTGACTAACGAGCAGAGAACGTACAATACCATTTGCATAGTTCACTACCGTTTTCAAAACATGAATCGCTTGAGGCATTTGTGCAATTGTTCTGCTTATAAATAAAATTATTACCGTTGAGTGACTCCGTATGAAAGAATAAATCAGTGAACTAAAATAGACTATTTGGAATCATTTCAATTGGATGGAAATCATTTGAATTCTTTGGCAGATACAATGAAAACTTAGTTATTAAACTGCATATGGAATTTCCGCTATCAATTTAATGAGTATCTTTTTGTTTTCATTTCGAACTTCGTTATAGTTCCATGTTTCCGTGCAAGTTCTTTTGTTTGCCCCGTTTGGTTTGGAAAGGTGATTAAACCATGTAGGATGGTTATGAAGGTTCTTTTTTTTACCAACAATTTGAATAAAGTGCTGTTCGAAATGATGCTATCAATATGTGTTAATAAATAATTAAATTTCGCTTATTATTTATATGATCCTTGATTTAAGCTGTACTTTGTTGAGCATTTTGGTAGGCATTCATTCTTCGAATCATTGAGGGCTAACATGTATACTCAATTTCAATAGAATCTGGGGTACTTGCTATTTTTTCATATTGCATTTTGAATGGAAGCAAGCTATCAAAAGTACTGGATCTTATTGAATATGTGTACACACCAAAAAGAAAATATACATCGCTTGAATTTTTCATGAACAAAAATGATGTAAAAACGGATACAAATTTAATTACCGTTATGTGAACACAAAATTATTATTAAAGCGAATGAGCGAGAGAGAGAGAGCAATGGAAATGTGGATATACCACACTTTGAGATAAGCATATGCGTCATCTCGAACGAAGGACCATACATGTTGCTGATATGGAGCGCACTTTGTATGGTATATGAATAGTGAAATACATATATGGAAATGCGTACATATGATGACTCTGTGTTCAAACCGTGTTCAGATGATGCCATAAGCCCGTTTATGCTTGTTGGTAGAGTTTCGCCAGTGGTTCACGCCACTTCCGTTTTATGCGTATAATAAAGAGCCGTTTCGTAGCATACGTGTATTTAATTTAATTTGGCCATGTGATAAATGTGAATGTGCGCCCCGTCGCATGCTGGCTGCCTTTTTCTTTTTATTCGCACCGCTGCCATTATGAGCGAAAGTAGTGAAATGATGCGCCAACTTCAATCAGAGAGTGAGAGAGCGAGAGAAAGAAAGTGCAACAGAAAGAGAAAAAGAGCGAAATAAAGACCGGGAGAGCGTGTGTGTATGTCAAATAACTGAAAATGTTTGAAAGTCCACATTTCATATATTATATGGCAATGATGCTAAAAAAGAGCAATTCCACAATTCGTTATAATATTTAAAAAAAATGTGTTAGATAGATAGCAATGTTCCGGTTAAAACGCGAAATGTTTCACTGAGTACAACATTTTGTTTGGTTTTATGATGCCGTATTTCTCTTTAGATTTCTATTTAAAAGTCGTCAATTCTTTTTTTGTCATTGTTGTTGTTGTTTCACCTCGTTAACCACGCGTCGGCACGATGCATTTGCGTTGAAACATTGTTCGAAAAGTTTTAATTGATTGAAATGTGCAAAGCATTTTTTTCTCTTTCGCCATTAGCAACAATGACTTTATGCACGATTTCCAATGTTAGATATATGCCAAATGCAACGACAGATTTCTCAAAAAAAAATGCATGCATTCATTTTTTTATGGCATTCACACGGCCATATCGATTTCTATTTTCCATAAATTTGAATTGTATCGCTGAATGTGGCTGAATGAAATGAACACATACACACAAAATACCATAAAAAATGTTTACTTTATAGTGGAGTTTTGCTTGCGTTGCTGGTGATGACGTAAAAACTTGTTAATCGAATAACAACACGATGCGTGCTTTTTATTCGCTTGTTAGAGCGATATATTCATTTCATATATGAGGTGGCGTGGAGGGAGAGAACGAATGGAAGAGATTCAAATTCGATATCGCGCGTTCTGGCTTAGTCTCTTTTTTCTGTTCCCATGTTTGGCTTATTGACGCTCGGAATTGAAATTGAAATTTATCTATTTTCCAGCCTTTGTGCGCATAACCAATGAATTGAACGTGCTTTATAAACTTTTTCATGCTCATAGAAACATGACCACGAGACTTTTTGTTGCCATTGCACTCTCTTTCTCTCTCTATCCACATCTTGCTCTCTCGCCTATATTTTGTGACTAATTCACATTACATATTTGTTTGTCGCATTCATTTTTCCACGCTCACACTGATACACACTTCCTTTTTTTCTGTCACCGTTGTTCACATCTTTATCGGGTTCATGGCGCGATTGAGATACACAAATGTGTTGCATAAATATTAATTACAGAGAACAATCAGTGTTGATGTTGCAATTAATCAGTTCAATGAATATTACGTCAATATCGTTAGTGTTTTTTTTTATGTTGCTTGATATTTTTGCCTGATCGAAATCGTTGCTTCGTTTGTCATTCTCATTCGTTTATTGTGTATGAATTTTCCATTGCTCTCAATCTCTACATATATTGATTCGAATAGAGCGATTCAATCAGAAAGAGAAGAGATAGAGAAAAAAATAGTTGAGATTTAATTGTTCGCAAAAAGAGAGGGAAAAACTATATAATTTGAAACTGGTCTCGTTCAACACAATCAACTGAAAAGAATTCAATCATCGATTTGTCGTGAATAACCGTTAAAATTGTTGTTATATGTGTCGATAAAATGTGTTTTTTATTCACATCGCCATCTCATTAACAGGTTCATTGACAAAATAAAGCGAAACAAATTGATTTTTTTTTTGTAATACTCAACGAAGATTCGAGTTCTTTTTTTGTTGTTATTTCATTAAATGTTACGAAATCGATATATAAATAAAAATTGAATCACACCAATTCACGTCATAAACCTTCGAATTGTCGACCAACAAAGACGAACGCATAAAATTGTAGTAAAATACCATTTAAATCAATCGAATACAATCAATGTCAAGATTGACGATCGTTGTTATGTGCATTGCGGCCATTTTCGTCAGTTTGACGATGAATGGCTGCGATGCACGACGCATTCAAGTTGATGATTTGGACGTGGCTGCATCAGACAAACACGAATGGAAAAAAGGTGAAGAAGAAGACTATCATCACAGTGGATATGGTAAACATGGAAAGAAAGGCGATAAAGGTTACGAAGAAAAGCATGGGTACGTATCGATGTTTGAAAGTGTTTCAAAGTAAAAGTTCTCTCGCAGTTGGAAAGTGAAGAGAGAAAGTTGTGCAAAAAAATTATTGTTAACAGCGAACTTAGCGCTGGAATACGTGTATTTGTGTTTTTGACGTTTTTTTTTTCTTTCGAAAAATAATGAGTTGAATAAAAAGAAATAACAAAAATGCGGTGTATTCCATCTCAATAAACATTTCAAAATATATCGTTTCAATTAATATGATTAGGATCGTTAATAAATTAAACGTAAATAATTCAGCTTAACGTACAATGATAACTTGAAAACTCTGTCTACTTTTTTCTTTCCTTCAATAGAGAAGAAGAAGGTAAAAAAGGTCACCATGACAAAGCAGACCACGAAGGTGAATACGAAGAGAAGAAGGGACACAAGAAAAAATATTATGATGATTCCGGGTAATATTTTAATTATTTTCATTATTTTTAATGTGATAGCGTGCCGAAAATTTCCGATATGGTTTATAAAAAGAAAAAAAAATTGAAAAATAATTGATAAACATTTATAGATATCATTCGAAAAAAGAAGAAGGAAAGAAGGGTGAAAAAGGCCACAAATTTCACGAAGAAGGTAGCTTTAAAAAAGGTCATTCAACCAAAGGCAAGCATGTCATTCATAAGTTAGATGAATCCGAAAAGAAGAAAGACTATTTTGACGAAGATTATGATGGTGCATACGATGAGGAGCACGGTGATTTTCATGAAAACCATGGATCGAAAAAGGGTGGATCACACAAAAAAGGACATTTTAACAAATCATTTGAGGAAAAAGAGGCTGGCAAGAAGGGTCACGGCAAAAAAGGACATCATCATCATGACGAATCAGGTTAATCAAATACCATTATTCACTATTTTAATATTTTTGAATGCACAAAAATAAAATGAAAACGTTTTTCCTGATGACCTGAACTTTGATTGGTTTCATTCATATCAACGTTCACTGTACAATGTGAATTTTAATGTTAGTTTGACCTTTGAACCGAAAACATTCAGTCTCAAAAGTTTCACATTTTCAGAGCATGGATTTTAGCAGTTGAATTAAATACAAAAAGCGATACAATTGTGAAGAAATATTATCAACAAACGTTGAACGATAAATGATTAACTGCTATTGTTCCGTTTTAGTTTATTAATTCGTAGACACGCTTCGAAATATGAAACTATTTGAATTTGACACTTTCTTTCCATTGTAGGATACAAAGGCGAAAAAGGCGAAGAAAGCAAGTACGGTCACAAAAGCGAAAAAGGAAAGAAAGGCGGAAGTAAAAAGGGTGAAAAATGGGGTCATAAAAAAGGCTACTGATTCGAACTGACGAATATACTACGCCTGAACGAGCTTTGTCTTAGCCAAACTGTTAGAAACGTTAATTTGGTTTTTCATTCATCAACTGTAGTAATTGTGATCCTATGAAAATTTGCTAAAAATATGTATGTACTGTGTTGAAAAGGTGCTTTTTTTTCATTCACCCAAGAGAATAAATAATGTGTTCGCGACAAAATTTCCAATTTGTTTTCTTTTTCTGACAGAACAGAACGTTGAATACGTTAAACTTGCGGAAATGAAAATGACATGCACGTGAAAAGTTCGTAAACATTACTGTGTCATATCCGCCAGACAAGCTAACAAAATCAAATGCACTTTGAATTCGACTAATTTTTGTGAGCGTTAATGTTACATCATATTGTTTATTACAACGCAAAATAATGTTCTCCATTTGAAACCATTGCAAACATGTGTTAAATATTTAAAAAACGTATTTTCGCTATGAACTGTCAACATCAACAAACATTTCTACGCTTCACTCAATCATATGTATATTTCAAATCGTTTGCATCAGTTCAAAACATTTGCTCTCGTTTCATTTACTTTGTAAATGTGTTTACATAATCAAAATCGAGCGCGAAAGAAGAGAAAAAGAGAGAAAAACAACCCATGTTTAACCATGTTACAAGAATATTTGAATCCATTTGCTTGACGGTGTGATGTGTGTTTGTGTTGTCTTTTTTTGTCGTATAAAATTCATTGCAAATAAATATGTTTTTCGTTTTCGTCATTCGAAATTCTGTATGTTGCTACTTCACTTTGGATTTACTTGAACGAATAAAAATACCATTCGCTTTGCATTACGCGCTTGATGAAAACCATCTACTTTGTGCTATCGGTAGTGGTTCAGTTGTAACATATTCGAATCATGTGAAATAATAGAGAGAGAGAGAAATTGTTCTCGATTATTGCTTTTCTCTTGCAATTGTTTCCATTGTATGATGCTTTGTCACTGAGATACATGGCGGCATGGTGTGAGGTAGAACAAATTAGATGTAAATAAATTGATGGATTATGTTTTTCCATTCGACTCATTCATCTTGAGACTATGAAATTTCACTAAACTGAATGAATGAACATTTTCGTGATAGTTGTTGCTGTCGCACACACTTCACCATAAATCTCGTATCGAAAGCGGTATGTGTGTAGGTGTGCAGTGTGCACCCAACAAGTAAACAATCTTGCGTATTTTAAGCTGAACAAAAGAATGGAAGAGATGATGTGGGCGAATGTCTTGATAGCTATAAAACCTCATTTTAGCATGTTTTCATCATTTTTTTTTTACATTGAAATATTTGCTATCTTAATGAAAACAGGCTCAACCCAATGTAGTAGCATTAAATTGAGCAACACAAATCACTCGAAAATGGCATGCAAGACGAAGAAAAAAAAGAGATTCGCATGATTTGATATAAAAATTAATTTGAGAATCGCGTGTCAAAAGTGCTCATGGGCACTCCCGCTCAATGAAAGTCTGCGTATTTTGGTTTTGGCTATTTTTATCAAACAGTTTCCATCATTTCTTTTTACTTTTTGCATCTCTCGATTTTTTTCTATCTGGGAAATATGCTGAAGAAAAATATCGAAGTTTTATATAGATTTGAAAAAATCTGTAAAATTTATGTTGATTTTCAACGAAATATTTGACATTTTATAAAATACAAGCCACACGCATGTTTCGGTCTTCATAAAATACGCAGTACAGACTTCATTAATCATTTTGTAGAAGATAGCGTATATCTTAATAGTTCATATTTTGGTAATTTTTTCCTTACAATTATTTGTCAAAATTGTTCCGAAGTCTCCAAAATAGTTTTTCAAACTGTAATTATTAGTAATTTTCAACTTCTTCACCTTATGAAGATGCAAAGTACACGTGTTAGTACGTGTTTGTCCATGGCATTGGACATACAACAAATTGGAGTAATTAAGGAATAAAAATGTTAAATGTCAACGTTTCAACTGAAAAATTGCAGAACAACAAAATTCTAATAAAATATGAAACGTTTTCATTTTCCTTTCTGATTGATGTCGGAACAAAACAAACAGGTGGATGAAAGCGGTAATATCGCATAAATAAAACAACCATTTTTCTCACTTAAAACGCACAAAACACTGTGCTAACTTAGCACTGCTAAGCATAGGCATAGTACAATGTATAACTGGGTTAGTTTTTAAAATCAATAATTCGACCAAATTACACGTAAATACTTCCATCTGAAACGTAATAGGCAAATCAACCTTTGAAGCTAAAGCGTACAGAAGTGTAAACTGGTTATCCACATAAAATAGAAGAAAGAAAGAAAAAAAACACTCACTGCACACACGTAGCTCTCTTGTTCTCTAACGAAATCGATAATTGGAAAGTTTTTGTTTGAACATATTTGCAGTCTCCCTTCTGTTCATTCGTTTTGAATTGAGTACGTGAATGTTGGCAACGATGAAAAATGGTTTGGGTTTGTTTATTGGTTTTATTTTTGCTGTGCAAAGCGAAAAGTTTTTGAGTGTTGAAGGGAAAATAATAAAAAACGATTTATTTTCTCGCCATTTGGTACAATTTAGTGTTGTTGTTGTTTGTACGTTCGTTGCTATAATCGATCTTGAAAATTTTTAGAAACGAAATTGCTTTTTTCGCCATTATGGGCATAATAGTGTGTGTATATGAAACGCAACAGTATTGTTCATCTATCCCATTTTGAAGATTCAAATCCCCAAATGATTTTGTGCATTTAATTCCATACAAACATTAAAATCTCTCGATAATTTAAATTCGATGCGACCGCATCGCACCCGAAGAGCATTCAGCATAATAATTGTGTTGATAGAAATCCGTGTAATACCATTCGCTTAAATATGTTATTTATTTGGATTACTCGATTTTGAACTTGTAGATATGTGTGCGCTGTACGAGGTAACGAGGGGGGACTTTCTAAATATCAAAATTGCAACGGTTAAAATATTTCGATTATTCATAAAATTCACTGTGCACCGCACAGAATTGATATATACAGTTGAATACACACAAGACCAGCAATAATGTGGGGTGTTTCTGACGATGATGATGTACACAGTATTCAGGCTTAAATTACATAACAAAATGAATTTTCCTATTTTGCCTACTCGCAGGACACAAACACACACACACACATACACCATCAAGGAAACTACGATGTTTACGGGTTTGAAGTGGTTTTTCACCCTCGTACATAAAATCCGGTTCGATCAATTGCATTTGCCGAGCTCATTTTCCACGTGTTCATATTTCCTTTTTATAGCTGTTTTCTGCATTTCAACTTAATCCAAATACAAAACCAAGCACTGAATTTTGTTTTGTTTCCTTGCAATTTGTTTTTATCTTTCTTCATTTTTCGACTTTCTCCCACTACTCGCTCACTTTTCTGTCTGAATAAACGTATTTTTTACTTTTATGAAGGCGGTATCAGCAAATGGGATGGATTGAGAGAAAGAGGAGATATCGATTAGCATTCAGAACACGAATCTTATTCCGGCTTCAATTTTACGTGTGTTTTGCCATTTGTTTTGATTTTATTTTATATATATATATATTTTATATTTGCCCAGAAATAAATCGAGAACAAAAAAATGCACATTTGGCATTTAACCGTTCGTGTTGTTTCTATTCATTACTTTTTTTCGCCATATTGTGGGTTGCTCATGGTATGTTCAAGCAATGTGCACTGAAACATCTAAAACTGGAAATTTTCTGCAACCTTCAATTTAATTAGAGCGATAGTTTTTGTTGTTGTTCTAGTTAAATGTATGCACGGTGCACACTGCACACACACACACATGTTCTGATTTTAATCCCTTTGAAACATGAATCTGTGAGTTAGTGCTTAAAAGGCTAACAGACAAGGTGAATTAAAGCATTTAAAATTTAAATTATAGAAAAAGCGAAAGCCAAGCATAGAAAAAAATTTATTTGATTAAATGGCAAAGTGTATGCGCTTGTCATAAGAGTGTGAGAGATGTATAAATGCAGAAACGCCGACAAGCCGGAGCCAGAATGAATTTTTATTTCGTTAGTGAGCTCCAGTGAGCATTACCTTCATGGATTCCAGGCACAAATCTAATAAATTCATTGACACTGTGACTGTGTGTGTGCGTTAAAGAGCGCATCGTGCGCATAAAGGGTGCATATTTTAATCTTATTCCGAATCATTTAAATGTGTATGTGTTTTTTTTGGGCGTATTCAACATCCATTTAATCCATGTCTATTTGCTTTATCACAACGTTCACACTTCTTCTTCATCTTTTTTCGGCTTTTATTCTCGGGGATATTGGCCATTTTTCTTTTGCATTAAATAAATGACGTGTGTAAGCCGGTGCTATCTCACACCTCAAAAGAACGAAATTCCCTGTGGCTGTTCTGCATTTAAAGTAATATAGCTAATAGAAATGAACAAAAAAGGATCGTGCACACACATCGAATGCACCCCAATGTGGCGTCGTCTATTTCGAAATGAATTCAAAATAAATATAGATAAAATGGCAGTGATTTTCTGATAAAATTTAAATATGCAGAAAGTAAATGTTATTCTTTTGTTATTGCTGTTATTCCATTTCGATTCAATGCTCGACCAAAATAAGTTCGTGACTCTGAATGTTAAAGTTTTCATTTTCAATTTATCGTTTGCTCTGACTTGGTTTTGCCATTAGTCAATTTTATAGCATTTCATTGAAATATATTGTATTTGAATCAACCAAGTGAATTATAACAAAAATAAAATCGATAATTTGTGCATGACATAGATTATAGACTGTTTTGATGTGTCCTTGTTCTGTAATACGATTCAACATGCAGAATGAACAATTAAAATATATTTTAAGCCCAAACAAACGATTAAATTTAATAATATTTCTGTTTGCAGGCGAGATGAATACAAAAAAACTCCAACGTTGTTGAACATAACGGCGACGACCATGACGTCTAATGCGCCAAATAAAAATGAACAATAGACAGAAAAAGGATTTAAAACAATTTTACCAAACGAATCAACTTTTCTACCTGAAAATCAAAATATAACGGTCGCTCTTCATTTGGCGGGGTTGCTGTTTTGCTATGAGTTCTGTATTATCTCTTTAAAAATTCAGGAAGA